TAACTCTATACCAAGCAAAGAGTTCAACAAATTGTATTAAAAAAAAAAAAAACTGTTTCTCAACAGTCAAGACAAGGACTCTTCAAAGTCAATGTATCTTGAAGTTTATTTCAATTATTTTTAAGCACTCTTTTTTTTGAAAAACCTTATTAAAGAAATGCATGTAGACATAACTATAACTTATGAGACATAAGAATATTCTCCAGGTAATACAAGTTTTACTATTAGCTCTCATAATACAACTCTGCGGACATAGGTTCTGCATGGAAAGTGAGGGCACAATGACTCCTGTTGTTAATTTAACAATTACCACACTTATTATGATGTTAGTGATCACCTAAGGATCTTGACATGCGCTGCCAAGGCTATGGAAGCCTTTTGAATACACAGACGGTCAGTATTTAACAAGGCCGCAAGCAAAGTGGAAGTTCTCTCCTCCCTTCAGAGAAAAGCACTTCCTTCTTTGATGATCCTTTCTTTCATCTGGGGTCTCACCCACAGAGGTCCTTCATGTAGGACATTTTTTGATGCAGTGTCGGCTTTCCACGTCTGAAATGCTCTGCACCACTTTCTTACACTGTTAGGAACAGCTGCCTTTGATTCCTGTGCCACATACTCATCTGTGATTTATTTCTTTTTTTTAAACTTTTATTTAGTAAATATAAATTTCCAAAGTACAGCTTATGGATTACAATGGCTCCCCCCCCCCATAACTTCCCTCCCACCTGCAACCCTCCCATTACCTGCTCCCTCTCCCATTCCATTCATATCAAGATTCATTTTCAATTCTCTTTATATACAGAAGATCAATTTAGTATATATTAAGTAAAGATTTCAACAGTTTGCACTCTATTTCTTATCAACACTTTATTTGAATAGCTGCCCTTGTCCTTCGTCCACCTAAGTAACCACACTCATCCTTCAAAATGAACGACCTGCTACCAATGACCTCTTATAAGAAACCTCAGTGCAATTTAGAAACACTTTGCCCATGATTGCGTGGAGTCTTCTTCATGCCATAGACCTTTCTCTCTATCACATTATGAGCTCTTTTTCATCAGTTCTTCCCCTCATTCATCCCCTATGCTTTGTGAGAACAAAGGTATTCATGCTGTTCTTCTATGTATCCTCAGCACTTGTCAGAATGATTGTTCAGTAAAATATAAATTTGTGACTTGAATTTAAATACTACTTTTTTTAAAAAAAAAAGTGAATAAAATCGCAAATGGAGACAGAGAAGAAAATAATGGAATGTGTTCTGGATCTTGGTTGAAACTTAGATTTATATCATGGGAGAGGAAACCAAGTGCACCCTGGGTAAAAATTTCGGTTTATCAAGGAAAGAACTCCCTAAATTCTTATACACAGATGCATTGTAAACATATAAATTTATCATCTGCTCCAGACCATTTATAACAGTAAAGCAGGAATATATTACACTTAATCTGGGTCAACAAGTGTCAATCACAATTTCCTGTGCAAATCAAGACGATATGATCATATCAAGCTAATTTTATCCTTCAGTTATTTTAAAGATATTTGCTCTTTTAAATGCTTTCCCCCAGATATCTCATGACTCACTTCCTCACTTCATCTAATCTCTGCTCCAGTGAGGAGGAAGGCTTTCTTTGGCAAGGTCTTCCTAGATGTCTAAAATAGTTTTCTCCACAGGATTCTGCGTTAGTACTCATCACTGTCAGACTCACCAACTAGAATGCAGGGTCAGTAAGAGGATAGTTGTCTGATTCCAAGTCCTTGTCCAAGAAAAGGTACCCTGAATGTAATAACTACTCAATAAATAGACAATGATGTGATAAGTATTTTAGTACAAATATTGTCTTTATCATTTTAAGGATTTGTTGATAAGAGATTAACAAAACAAATAATATTAATTTTTTGAGATCAGTTTTTTGCCAAATTTTTGGAAAAGTGTTTAAACAGCTTCCCAGTGGTGAGACATTTTATTTTCATTTTGATACATCTATACCAGTATCTTATATATTAAATATTATGACATTTAAATATTTCAGTCCATTTTTTATGTATAAATAATAAAATCAATTAAAATTACTTTCTAATATATCTGTCATGATATTTTGATCACAAATCAGAAATATTAAATAGTTTTGCATATTGTGGCCAATATGATATTAATTAGCCTTTGAAATACATGCATTTATATGAAATAAACAATTCAGATGTTCACATTATTTTATAGTTAAAGGAATATAATTGACCAAGTTGACAATTGGAAGGCCAATGAGGTTTGAGGTAGATGTATCCTAAAGAAAGTGAGAAACTTAAATAAGTTAATGAAGTACAATTTTTTAAAAAGTTAGGTTAGCTAACTTAGGAGAAATTTTGTGGATTTGCCAAGACTTGGGAGATAGAAAAAATATGATTCCATTTTTTCCAACAATAAAAATGAAGTAAACTAAAAATATATTAAAGAATATTAGTGGGCAGAGTAAAAGAACTTTATTAAAGCTGTGCATACTATTTTCAGTTTTTCTAAGAATGAGATTTCCACCTGTCTTTACATAATTTTAGTGATATAGCAATTGAGTGAATAGTAAGTAAGTAGTAAGGCCTTGTGGGAAAGATGGTGGGATGGGTTTAAGTAGAGATAGCACGAAAAGTACAAGAAAGGGAAGACTTTGAGTTATACATGTACACAAGCTATCCTGAACTTGTATATGTGACAGGGTTGATGTCAAAGTATGACTTGATACTTCCACAGGGTAAAAGGCTCACAGAACATAGCCGACCATCTATATCCCCTGTGACTCAGAGCCCTGCCTTCATCTAGCACTGAGCACCAGTGTGGAATTCTCATGATTCCCATGAGCTTTGATCAACCCTGTAGACCACGTGTTGCTTGAAGAGTCATTCATTCTCACATTGGTGAAAGAGGCAGGTAGCGTTCCCAGGCACCAAGCTCACGCTGAGCTGCCATCTTCTCATCCTACCCCCATCACAAGGAGCAGTCAGATCCACCTCTGTCCTGACCCTGTATTCTGCCTCCCAGGTGGGCTTCCTTCTCATTCAGGGGCTCGATTTGTAAATTCATCTCATGTTAATTGTTCTTCCAGCTCCCAGAGATACCATCCACTATGAATTATAGCCTTCATTTTGCAAAGAAAACCTTTGTCATTAACAGCTTAAGTTGTGCAATCTAAAAGTTTTGAATTAGAAATACATAGCTAAGGTTACTCAGTTCTTAATATTAAACATATATGGCAATAATAGTAAATGGTAACAACATACATTACTTCAATAAACACAGTTAACTAATTTGCCTTCTGTGTGTAGTATGTGCCTGTGTGTGTGTGTGTGTGTGTGTGAGAGAGAGAGAGAGAGAGAGAGAGAGAGAGAGAGAGAGATTTTGGGTCATTTTAAATGTAAAGTTTGCTCTCTAATACTAAATAATTTCCTTACTAAGCAAGCAAACAAGAAGATAGAAGATATTTTAAATTTTGTTCTCCCCTCTTTCCAGAATAAAACTGGAAGTTGTAAATCTTGGCATTAATTACCTTCAGGAGGTAATCCTCATCTTCCCTTCCCATCTTACCTAATTCTATACATATCCTTTCTCTTCCTTCCATTTCATTTTTCCCCATATATCTCCTTTTTGATTAGCTATTCCATCCCAATATCTATCTCAACTACTTTAAATCCAATAATCTGAGTCTTGTTCTTTCAGCCTCTCTGCTCGTATTCCTAGCATATTGCAAATCTCAATTCAAATAACACTAATGGGTGGCCAACGTTTTTATGATGAGGGACATTTGGATATTTATAACATCACTTTCAGGACATACAAAGTCATCTTCTTAAATGTTATCCTACTTCAATTTATTGGATTTTGAACGCTGCCTGCAGAGGCCTTAACAGAGACAGACCACATGATTTGCAGGACTTACATTGCCTGTGGGCCAGAAGTTCCCCATGCCTGACAACACGGTGCTTTTCTAGCTGTCTGACTCAAATTAATCACACATACCAAAGCTTTTAGCATTGCCCGGCCATTCTGCCCCCTTAGAATGCATTTCACTTACTCTTCAAGCATGTTTGTATGTGTGCCTCCTCCATGGCACTAAAAATTCTATGAAATGAGGCGGAGCATTCCATTCACATCAGTTTCTGTTAGGCACGTAGGAAGCTTCAACTATTCAGCCACTCTCATAGTTAAGCAAATAGGATATGAAATTCATTTTGTAATACAGGGAAAGACTAATGTTTACCAAGCAAATACTATGCTTAGGCCACTTTAAATATATATTATTCATCTCCCAGCAGCAGTTTTAATAGCTCATATATACTTGGGAAATGTAAATGATTCTTTCGCCTTTAAGTTGCTTTGGGTTAATAGCTACTCCTATCCCTTCAATTCTGTCTCTCATGTTTTCACCATTAATATTTCTCTGACTGGGCTCTGGTTGAGAGAGAACAAGATCGTCTCACATCATTGTTAGAAAGGTCCCCAAATATCATTTGTCACTCAGGTATGTAGGTTTTCTGGGGCTTTTAAGCAGGCAAGACAATCTTTAGGAGGTGTCCATCATTTGGCTACTACTGACTCGTTTGCCACAAACTATTTTACCTCCAGCAAGAGAATGAAGAGTGCAGAGCAACATCCTTGCGATGTGATGGTTCTAAGTGCCAATGCAAGCATCACAATCCATCATTGTCAACCATGCTGAGTTTTGAAACCAGAAGTAGATACCTATAGGCAGAAGACTGGACTTCAGGATACCACCCAGTTGTCTCAACTAGCAAAACACCCTTCTGTGTGAAAAGGAAAAGTCAGTTCATAAAGCTCTGAGTAGAAATCCCACTACACAAGTCTTTCCAGAGGCAGCAACGATTTGAAATTATGTGAGGAGGTCAGATTCCTACCTGCTTCCAACAAAAATATTCATATGGGGATTCACAACACAGACATTGGTTTTTGCAAAATTTTACCTAATTATTGACCTTATATATTCTGTTTTCCACAGAAACAGGATCAATCGAGACACAAAGAGCACCATGAAGATATGTGAGACTTTTCATCTCTTTATGACCTCAAATGCCATGTTTAGGTTAATGAATGACTACATGGAAAAAGAAGCAAGAAAATGTAAAGCCAATGCTTTCACTGCTTAATGTCACAAAAGGATAACACATCTTATGTTTTATGATGGAGGAGTCATGTGGTATTAGTACTAGGTGTTCCTGCCAGAAGCATCAATCCAGATGGGGATATTAATTTATTTGACCAGATGTGTAACAATGTCACTCTGAAAGGCAGTTCTGGTATGCTGAACTGACATATATCAGCGTAGAAATTCCACTGCTAATAGAATATTTCTGAATTAGTGGCTCTCCAGTGGGATCTCAATCACTTTGAACCACAAAGAAGGTACGATTTTAGCACAAGACTTTTAGAAAGACAAGACTTAAGGTCCCATGTAGTCTGAAAACTTCATTTGAAAAAAGAGGAAGCTAAGGTTCCAAGAGGTAAAGTATGCAACAAGAACTTCTCAATTCATGTGCGGCAAAATTGAAGAAAAATTCTGGACCCCAGAACTAAGAAGATGTCTTTGCTCTGTGTCCTTCATTGAATGTTCATATATTCCATCATTTCAGTGAGCAGATGTACACGTAGCACTCACTGTGAGACAGCCACTTTACTAGGCATTTCATAAACAGCGGTGAAATGGCAAGCGGGATGCCTGCTTTTAAGGAGCGTACCCTCTGGTGGCCAGTGTCACACAGAAGTGAGCACATCTGTGCAAAATTAACTGCCGTGATGACAATGCAAGGCCGATGCTGCAGAGTGCCTGGAGCAAGGCCGCACAGGTAGAGTGAAAGAGAAAAGTCAGGCCATTTCTCATCACATTTTGACTACTGTGAAAAGAAGCCGGTGAAGTGGTGAAAGACTTTCCAGTATGTGGAAAGAACCAACACGAGATCTTTGTGAGTTTGGGGAGGAGGAGGCACAGGTAGAGGCACAATGAGCTGTGGAGAGACTGGAAGATGCTGTGAAGAGAGAAGCGAAAGGAAGCCAGTTACTGCAAACCCTATCAAGTTACTTCTATTCCAAATGCAATGGGAAAAATCGAAAAGATCTCAAAGAAGCAATAGACTCCGATTTTCAAGCACCTATTTGTGCATTAAAGTCTATCCCAAGATATGTAATTCTTTTAAGCTGCAGAGTACTTTCACATCCTTCTGTATTTCATTAAAATATTATAATAACTTCAATTGCAGTAAAGAGCGGAGGAATTTTACAAAAGAAATCTCAGTTAAACAATCAACGGGTTGATTGGGTTTGTCGTTGTTGCTGTTGTTCTGTTTGTTAACAGACTTTCTTGATTTTTAGCAGTTTGAGCTTCACCGCATTGAGCAGCTTGTACAAATGGTTCTCAAACACTCCCCTCCTCCTATTCCTATTTTGCATGAGTATGGTACATTCATTAGAAACCATTAACTGATATGGAGACCTCCCGATTGTCATTATGGTTCACATTGTGTTGTATAGTTCTATGGGACAGAATAATTCCCTGTGATCCATGTATTCATCCCACCTCCTCTACCTCCAAACTCTTGGTAACCACAGAACTTGTCACCGTCTTTATATATTCACTTTTTTCCAGAATATTATATGGTTGTAATGGAAGGAAATCTTTTCAAATTTGTTCCTCTTGATGTACATTAAAGTTTTCTGTCTTTTTGTACCTGAATAGCATGTTTCCTTTTTAATAAATAAACGTTTATTTTATTTTTTTAAAAGCAGAGTGATAGAGGTTGGGGGAGAGAGAGTAGACAGAGAGATCATCAATCTTCTAGTTATCTTCCTGTAACACTGCAATGACCAGGGCTCAGCCAGGTCAAAGCCAGGATTCTGAAATTCCATCTGGGTCTCCCACATTGGCGATAGGAACCCAAGTATGTCATCCACCACCTCTGTTTCCCAGGGTGCACATGGGCAGGAACCTGGAATCAGGAGCGGAGCCGGGACTTACACCCAGGCCCTCTGATACGAAATGTGGTTGCCTTAATTGGTTTCTTAACTGCTATGCAAAACACCTGTCTCCTCATTTCCTTTTATTGCTGGAAAATTATTCTACTTTGAAGGTACAATAGTTCAATTCTCCATTCACCTCTTTAAACACATCTTGGTGGCTTCCAGTTTGGAGCAATTATAAACACTCATGTGTGGCATTTGTGTGGATCCAAATTTTCAGCACATTTGGATAAATTCCCAGGTAAGAGTAAGTATAGCATTGTAAGCAATGCTCCAGTTGTCTTCCAACGTGGCTGTATGATTTGCATTTCTACCAGAAATGAATGGAAGGTCCTGTTGCTTCATACCCTCACTAACATTTGATATTTGGAATTTTTTTTAATTTTGGTGGGTGTGCTGTGTTATCTCAATATTTCAAATTCCAAATGATGCTGATTATTTCCCTCCTATTTGTTTATAAAGATTAGTTACTTATTCCCGTAAGAATCTTACACAGAACCACATAATGAATAATGACATTTTAAATTTTTATTATTTATCTTTATTTTATTTGAGAGGCAGAGAGAGGGAAAGAGAGAGAGAGAGAGAGAGAGATTGATTTTTTCATCTGGTGTCCCACTTCCCAAATGCCCTCAACAGCTGAGGGTGAGGCAGGTGAAGAAAGAAGCCGAGATCTCAATTTGGTTCTCACAATTAGGTAGTGTCAGGGACTTAGTACTTGACCAGTCACCTGCTGCCACCTACGACTTCCATTAGCAGGAAGCTGGTATGGAAAGCAGAGTCCAGAATGGGATGCAGGCAACTGACGTGTTATTTTTCATAGAGATTCATGTTTTTTTTTATGTTCATCCAGTATATATTTAGCACTGACCATGTTCCAAGGTCTGGGTCAATCACGGAAGGTAACAGGTGTCATCTCTCCTTCTTCTAGGTATTCATGGGCTTAAGGGAGAACAGACACATAAACAACTATGGTACAGGGGAATACAGGCATTATGAGGGACAGTCCCTTGGAACAATCCCTAACTCTTAGTCAATGGAATCAGAGGAAAGAATTCTAGAACTGAATCAAAAAGAGAGGAGTTTACTGCTGAAGGCAGTGACATGGAGCTCTGAACTAGGCAGCCTGTCTTGGGACAACTATAAGGACAGTTAAAAGGTGGTGTCACGCTGAATATTTACAGAGACAAGGATGCTGATGCTGAGACCTGATCATTATAAATAACACTGTTGACTATCCAGCTGTGTAAGTGCTACCCTTTTTCAAATCGGTTTCACAGTAACACAAACCTATTGCTTTATTGTCTGGTCATTATAAAATTTATAATGTGTGGGGGCCGGCACTGTGGCACAGCGGGTTAATGCGCTGGCCTGAAGCGACAGTATCCCATATGGGCGCCAGTTCTAGTCCCAGCTGCTCCTCTTCCAATCCAGCTCTCTGCTATGGCCTGAGAAAGCAGTGGAAGATGACCCAAATTCTTGGGCCCCTGCACCTCCGTGGGAGAACTGGAGGAGGTTCCTGGCACCTGGCGCAGCTCCAGCCATTGCGGCCATCTGGGGAGTGAACTAGCAGATGGAAGACCTCTCTGTCTCTATAACTCTCTCTGTCTCTGTAACTCTGCCTATCAAGTGAATAAAATAAATATTGAAAAAATCAAAAACAAAATTTATCATATGTATATTTGAAAGTCTAGGTGGCAATTTCATATGGCATTAATAATATGATACTGTGTTATTAAATGCAGTTATTGTATTTCTTGTTTATTGTCAAATAAATTTTTAATATTTTATTACACGATGAAAACAAAACAAAATAAAGATGTATCTAAATTAGTTAATAATTTCACACTCATAATTAGTATTCATACTTATAATATTCATACTTCTTACATGTATGTTCAGATACATGTATCAGCAAGATCAATCACTTGATGTCTATTCATTTCATTAAGGACAGATATCCTACATGAGGAGTAAGTGCACAGCGACTCCTGTTGTTGACTTAACAATTTGACACTCTTGTTTATGGCGTCAGTAATCACCCAAGGCCCTTGTCATGAGTTGCCAAGGCTATGGAAGCCTCTTGAGTTTTCCAACTCTGATATTATTTAGACAAAGTCATAGTCAAAGTGGAAGTTCTCCCTTCAGAGAAAGGTACCTCCTTCTTTGATGGCCCATTCTTTCCGCTGGGATCTCACTCACAGAGATCTTTCATTAGGGAAGTTATTTTATTTTTAATGAAATACAGAAGGATGTGGACAGAGTGTCTTGGCTTTCCATGCTTGATCAGCCTTGTCCTGACTGTTGATGAACAACTTAATACTTTATCCCTTTTAGTATTTTTTTCCTACTTAATACTATTGGTTGAACTCTTTAATTAACACACAATTACTCTTAGGTGTTTAAATTTAACTGAAAAATGATCTCTGTTAAATATAAGAGTGGGAATAAGAGTGGGAGGAGAGGTACAATTTGGGACATGCTCAAGCTGACTTGCCCCAAATGGTAGAGTTAGAAACATACCAGGGGATTCCAATTCAATTCCATCAAGGTGGCATGTACCAATGCCATCTCACTAGTCCAAGTGATCAATTTCTGTTCACAATACTGAATAGGTCACATACTGATAGGTCTAAGAGTCAAAGGGATCACATAAACAAGACTAGTGTCTGCTAATACTAACTGATAGAATTAAAAAAGAGAGAACGATCCAACATGGGAAGTGGGATACACAGCAGACTCATAGAAGGGCAGATGTCCTAAACAGCACTCTGGCCTCCGAATTAGCCCTTAAGGCATTTGGATAAATATTTTTAAATCATTAGTTGTGGCTAAAAAATTTACTAATATTGTGTGAATCCATGTTTATATATTCATTTTCACTTTCCCTGCTTTATTTGATCTCTGTGAATATAAGGAAAACATGAAAATGCTGCTTAATTTTGTCATAGTTGTCTCTGGCCATGCCCAATCTCTGCCCAACTCTTTCTCTTGCTTGAGTTCTTGTCATTGACTATTCAATTCACCACAAAGCAGCCCAAGTATCATTAAAAAGTGAACCCATCTATCACTGTCCACACTTAAAATACTCTAACAAGGTCTTGTTGCTATTAGGAAAATACCTAATTGGTCCTCTGGGGTAGGGTCCCTTTCTATGTGCCTAATTATCTTCATTCTTTGCTTATAACTGGGATTAGGGAATCCTATATGCTTAGATTCATCCACACTATTCTTCCTGTTCCTAAGGTGTGCTGCTCCCCTTGGTGATTCACTGTTCCCTAAGATAATTTCATGACCTGTCCCTTCTGATCCAGGTCTCAGCTTTCAGTCCTACCCCAGAGAGGGACTCCCTGAGAACCCCAACCAAGGAAGCCCATAGTCCAATTCCAGTGACTGTTAGGTTACCCTGTATTTTGATATTAATAGCACCTTTTGTTATCTGAAATCATCTTATATTTTATTTTTTTCCCTTTTGCAAGCAGACTTTTTTTTTTTTTTTACAGGCAGAGTGGACAGTGAGAGAGCGAGACAGAGAGAAAGATCTTTCTTTTACCTTTGGTTCACCCTCCAATGGCCGCTGCGGCCATCGCGCTGAGGCTGGCGCACCGCTCTGATCTGAAGCCAGGAGCCAGGTGCTTCTCCTGGTCCCCCATGCAGGTGCAGGACCCAAGCACTTGGGCCATCCTGCACTGCACTCCCGGGCCACAGCAGAAAGCTGGACTGGAAGAGGGGCAACCTGGACAGAATCTGGCACCCCAACTGGGACTAGAACCCGGGTACTGGCACTGTAGGGGGAGGATTAGCCTATTGATCATGGTGCCGACCCACAAGCAGACTCTTAAGACATTGTCCGTGTTCTCCGATCAGCTTCATCTTTTGCATTTTGATTGCTCCTGTGCAACATAGACAAAAATAACTGAATTAACTCCTTTTATTATATAATAAGGGAATTGTTTTTTTTTAAAACATACATGAGTTCCAAAAGAATTCATGTAGATAATATTTGGGAAACATTGCATTAAAAGTAAATCTAGTATCAAGATTCTTCTTATAATATACAGTCACTCATCACATATGACAGACATAGATTTTGGGAATTGCAGCATCAGATGATTTTATTTTTATGTGACTATCATGGGGTAGAACATACCTACACAAACCCAGGTGGTATAGCCTACTACACACCTGGGCTATATATTATACCACTGTATAGGCAGTTTGACATTAACTGAAATGTCACCATGTGACACATCCTACTATATTACCTGTGAGTTCAAAATCTGTGAGAAAAAAATGTAGAAAAATTCTGTTTAGAACCACTCATATATTTAATCATTTACTAGGAAATAATGTTGCCTTTTCCAGCTTGTTGCATATTTGATAATTTACCAGAGATGAAATTTGAAATTACTTAATCTTTGTGTATAAAAAGAAGCTTAAAGGCAATGAACAAATGATAGGACTAGTGGTGCAATCAATGAATGTTTCAAAGAAAGAGAGAAAGAAATAAAAACGGAAGGCAGGAAGGAAGGACTGGAGGGAGGGAGAGAGGGAAAGAGGGAGAGAGGGAGAGAGGGAGGGAGGGAGGGAGGAAGGAAGGAAGGAAAAGTGAATGGTGGAAGGGGCAAAGGGTGAAAAAAAGAGAGAGAGACAGGCATTTGATGCAGCAGATGCCCACATATGTCCGAGTTTGTCTTGGCTCTGTTTTCCATTCCAGCTTCCTGTTAACGCACACCCTGTGAGGCAATAAGTGATGGCTCAAGTATGCAGGTCCCTGCCACCCATGAGACACTGGGACTGGGTTCCAGACTCCTAACTTCAGCTTGGCATGGCCCTGAGTGTTGCAGGCATTAGATGAATAAATCAGTTGGTGGGGGGTATTTCTCTCTCTTGCTCTCTCTTTCTCTTTCTCTCTCTCTGTGTGTGCAAATAAATAAAATATTTTTAAAGAAAGTAAAATAGAGAAAGAAAAAAAGTCACATTTCCAGTTGCTACAGAAAATAAAATTTCAGTGTCTCTGTCAGATAATTCTGATAAAATTATACAGAATCATTCTGTGGACATAAGTAATTAAATCAAAGCAATTACATTACTTGCAGGCATGTACGTGCATACAAACACACACACACACACACACACTTCTAGCAACCATTGGAAATGAAAGATTGTGTTTTCATGGAGAGAGCTTTCTAGCTCCATTGCCAATATAATTTATTAAAAATCTCATATCAGCATCCCTGTTAACCTTCTCGCAGTGGAAAAATTTTACAAAAGAGATCAATGCTAAATCTGTAGACTATTGCAACTTTATACTTCTCTTTGAAATCTAACAAAATGGGTTTCTAAACAATGAATATACAGTAGAAACAATGCCAACAGATTTAACAGCCATCTGGTGTAATTATTCATGATCCCTAAAAATAGACTGTTAGAACACGCACAAGGTTCCTTCCTGATATAATTCAGTCATCTCTCTCTCTAACAACACATGAGCTGGCTGAGTAAGGGAAAAGCTGCTTTCACTGGGCAATTCTAATTACTTAATTTCTATCATCATGCAAATAGGTACCCAAAAGTTAGCTCTCAAAGTCACATTGCACATGCCTAACTGCCATTATTAAAGTTACCCCACTGATGCCCTTTTTTACCTCTTAGTATTTACTGCTAGTGTCAGTGCATATTTTCTCCAAGTTTTCTCATGCAAACAGATCCCTAATAGACCTCTGCCCTCCATCATCTACCTCTTCAATCAACCCCCAATTTGTTTTGTACTCATCATTTATTTGTTTAATATTCAGTGACTGATAGTGAGAGTGTATTAATATATCTTTGTTCACAGTAACAAAATGCCTTCTTTAAAAATTTGGACTGCTTAAACATCTGAGACAGTTATTTTCTCTCCACATCTCAGTTAAATAATGATAGAACTCAAAAGGAGAGCACAGGTTGTCTGAAAGTTGTTTGCTTTTCTCTAAAGTCATTCCTCTGATTATTTGAAGCTGCAGTTCCACAGCTGTCAGGAAAAAAAGCTCTCATGCACCTTACATAGGAGAGGCTGTGTCCTCTGTGAACTATTTCCAGCCTAAACCTCTAATATCTTATCAAACTACTCTTGTTCATGCACCTTCACTATCTCCTTTACCCTCTCACTCTCTTTCCTATTTTAGCAAGCTTGACGAAGGAGACTCAACTCTGTAGTATAGTGATGGGTGAGACATAATGTCTACCTTCTTCATGGTGGTCTCT